CAAATGCCCCTCTAAAGTAGGAATGCAATTCCAAAATCTTGGGTGCATCAGTCCTATTAACAAGATTCTGTTTTCTTCTTTCCTTTCCCTCTTAACTTTTAGATATGAACAAGGTAAAATATTTTATATTAAAATAAAATTAATTATTTGAGATAGTGTCTTTTGAAGTTATGGAAGAAGCTTATAAATTGTGGAAAAGGGTGATAGTTATCTTGATCTTTTATTTGAAGTTACCTTGATCTTTTATTTGAGAGCAGTAGTGTGTGGGAGGTTTTTCCAGCTACTGACAGAGAGGTCTCCTGGCTGTTTAACCAAGGCATTTGGTCCTGGTGGTGCTGAAAGCATGGGAATTGATCATGCCAATCCAGGCAAGAGCAGCCTGTGCAAGCTATCCTACATTAACACTACTGTTGAAAATAAGTGCTGTTAGCATTGAGAACAAACTTTAATGGAAAAAGAACAAATAGGAAAGATTACAGTATTGTAAATCAGCACCTCTGAATCCCAAATGTGCAACTTGGAGCTGGGGGAGGAGAATTACTCTGTATATGGACTTAGGCTAGTGCTGGGCCTTCACCTGGAGCAAAGCTGCAGCGTTTTGTGTCCATCACAGGGTGTACTGCCTTTCACCTGCTTGCATGGATCTCAGACACCTGCAGGCAGCAGACAAGGGACTAGTTAAATTGTTTTGGTATTTAATTACTCTCTTTTCTGAAGGGGCTAAAGTCCATACATTATTCCATGGCAGGAAGTGTCATGGTGCATGTGCAAAAACTGGACATTCATCTGTTTACTGATGGCCATACTTAGTTACTTGGTAGATGCTCACACTTCTTGCACTACAGATGGAAATATGCATATCACATGCTTGAAAACATGTTATTTGATGCTAATGTTTTGTTCAGTGATGAATGAATTTCTGCGTACATGACAGGAGAAGGAATACAGCCTTCCAGGGACTCCATAAAGGCAGTGCAGTTCCTATCGGTAGAAAGATTTCTTAGTCTGGTTTCTCCATAGACAGAAACATGAATGGGGTGCCCTGGGTATGAGGGCCTCTTTTTTTAAAGAATAGCCAACACCTGTATCCTGCAAATTATGCTGACAGCATTGAAATCTGCAGTATCCTTATTTAGAAAGGAAAGAACGTCCAAAACATAATGCATCTTTCGGTGAACATGCTGCCTGGTCATGGGTTGTGGTGTAGTCCCATGAGTATCTTAAGAAAATCAGCAAGCATCTTTTGGTTTACCTTTCCTAGCTGATTTGTTTCCCCTTTAACCAAATGCAAAGGCGCTTTTCTAACAGCTGGATGTGCTGTGCCTTCTCTATTGTAATTTATGGACAGCAGTTAAGAGTCTGAGATGTGTAGAAAAAAAGAGATGTTGTTAATTTGTGGTGAGAGAAGTACTATGTCTTACTGTGCAGATGCTGTGTACTCAGTAGTCTTCTGAGAAGCTTGTGAAGACTTCTCCAGTGGGGTGTGTTTTGATGACTGTATTTATCATGTGGAGTGTCCAAGCTATTCAGTCTCTATCCTCGTTAGAGGACAGACATCCATGTCTTGTTTTGGAGTCAGTGTATCCATTAATTAGTGATTCTGGTAATAGTCACTTGCGAGTTAAACTGTTCCCAAAGGATTATTTCCAATGTTGTTTTTCTTCTGGTGTTTCTCCTCCCCATTAGATTTGTTCTATGGAGAACCTCTTTCACCTCATTATGGGGTTTATGTTTTACCTCCATGGACACTGCTTGTTCAGCTTTATTGCAAAGACTACCATGCCCAACAGCAAGCCCAGCTTGCAGCACCAAGATAAACAGGCACTGATCCGTGTGAGGAGCCTTGTACCAAACGGACTTTGGGGCCACTTCCCAACTGCCGGCTGCTGGATCTGGCTGTCTCTTCTGATTTGGAGCAGGAAGCATCATTCTGAGACTGTTTTGCCTCTGCAGTTTGCACTGCAGAGGTTGCTGGTCTTTGCTGTTGATTCTAACCCCTGTGCAGATCAATAGGGAACACAGGAACATAAACAAAACCAAATTAGACACTGCCAGTTTGAGGTTTCCCCCTCGGTGGGGCCCTTGTGGTCCCTGGGCTCAGGCGGTGAAAGAAGGCAACTGTGCTGCCACAGCGATCTCTTATCCCATGGCAAAGGTTGAGTTCTTGAGACTCGCCATGGCCATTTGTCTGAGATTCTAGCAGAGGAACAGCATTTGCTGTGATCTTTTGAGCATTGCTTGGTTTTCCTGCAAAGTTATCCACTCAAAAGGCCCTAGTTTCCAAGCTCTGGGGGAGGTTTTGGGGTTTTGTGTCTTTCTCTTCCTTGGACCAAATGTGTTCATGTGCCAGGTGTAAAGTTTTTGGATGGCTAGTGTGATTTTTTTCTTAAGAAGCCTACACAAAACAGATTTAGCACTAAACAGTCTTCCTTTTATAGTCTCTGTTTGTTACACAGAGGCCCTTTCAGTTTACATTTGCCCCATTCCTCACAGTGAAGATTGTGACTTTCTTCTGCCTTCTTTTCCTAATCTGTTTGTTTATTCCCATATATTTCTGGCATAGTTTAACTAAAGCTGAGGGTTCAGTGAAACTTTCTGGCTCAGACTGCTTCATGCTTCTGTGCAGACTGTCCCTTCATGGCACTCAATTTGCTGATACTCTTCCCTTGGAATATGAACTCTGAAAGATTTTTCAGTAGCTGCAAGGGTGGATACTTCTTACCCACATCCTAAATCATTATAAAATACTTCTGGAGAGGGTCTGCAGGCTCCCACAGCTTACTGTATTGAAAAATTCTCTTACTTTTTAATGTGCATAGTGATACATATCTCTTCGGCTCAAGATAACCTAATTTTTTTTTTTGCTTACTAAATTAAAAGATGAGTACTCAATGCCGATTGAGGAGGTAAAATTTTCTGGATAAAACAGCAGCAAAGTGCCGCTTTTGATGATCCATACCAGTGTACAAAAGCTCTGAATGAATACGTTGGCTCTTCCTTTTGATGCAACATTAACTTTTCAGCTGACACAATGATGCTTTCACTATTCGTTAAATACAGAGAAGTTAATGAAGCGAACAACAGATAAATTTTGAAAATTTTGCTGCACTGTCTTCGGTAACTTTATGCATATACACACTGCTAATAAGATGCAATACACTTTCTGCTTTTCTGACAGAATTAGGGTCATCTGCAGCATAGTAGAAGAAGGTAGCTGGTGACTTAGTTGCCCTGGAGAGCAAATCCTCCTTGATCTAATGGTGGCAGAGTTTAGATATTAAAAGAAAATGGTTTTGTTAAATGAAAGCTTCCTTGGTGTTTCTAGACAGGAACATAAACATGGCTCTTGAGCCATGTGGCAAAAAAGAAAGGAGGAATAGTTAGTACTCCTAAAAATCAACATTCTGGACATGAAAAGCTATTTTCTGGCCCATGAAAACTGGATAAACTTGTGTGGGTTGAGTGCTCTTGTTTGTGCATGTGGCTGATTAGCATGAGCCCTCTACCCAAGATTGTTGGTCTGTGTCAATCACATGTGTATCTAACAAAAAACTGCATTCTGCAGCCAAGTCCAGTTTCTGGTGATTCAGTGGGTAGGGTGTACAGCCAAGCTATGTGCCCTTCAGTGACATGAAAACCACAGCCGTTTGTGGAAAATAGGGCTCTTTTCCTTTCCATAAAGCAAGTGGAGCAAAAGAGTTAGCAAATATGGCATATTTTCTAGATAATAAGCTTGCTTTTTAAGAGCATGCCATGAAAAAATATCAATTTAAAGAAATGTCACTAAGAAAAATAAAGCAATTTGTAAGTGTATCCAGTTTGGTCAGGTTCTTATGTACACAAAGAAGAGATGCAGAATGTCAGTATGTTGTTTAATATGAAACCATTTTAAGAAAAAGTTAACTCGTAAGAAAAAAGATTATGTGTCCCTTTTCTTGCCTTAAAGTCATTCAAGCCATGCTGTTAACAAAAACCAAATTTTGTGTTGAAAGTATTGTACCCAGAAGAAGAAATGGTAAGCTGATACTTTTTCTAACCAGAGTAGAAATTTATTCTGTCAGGCCTGAGATTTAGAGCAAAACAATTTTAAAGCAAAGTAGTTTCATAAGGATGTAAATCTCTTATGTTTAACAAACAAATATTTTTTTTTCACAATCATTCAGTGTTAGTAAGGTTTAAATAAAACTATTTTTTATAAAATATTAAGTTTATGTCCAAAATAAGAATGATCATAATTTTCTTATATGAATATACATTTGTTTGCTAATGCATCTTACTGAAAAGGAGATTTTAAACATCATGTCATTCTTCATGCACTGCAGATAATTTGCAGTTTAAAAATGCTGATTATTTGGGAAAAAAAGTCTCTAGGTGATTCTCATGTTCAGATAACCTTCAGAAAACCAGCAGCAGGAGCCGGTCGGGGAGGGAGGAGGGAAGGAGGTGGCCTGGAGGGAGCGCCTGGGGAGAGGGAGCTGAACGTGCTGTAGGGAAGCACCTCTGCCACCCCTATGGCTGCCTGGTCCCAGCTACTCACACTCCCAGTTAGAGTGTGAAAGAATGGTACTGGCCTTGTGCGTGCCGTGTGATGCTTGGAGCCTTCCTCCTGTGAGCAAACTCTGTAGGTGCCCTGGCACGGGTTTCGCCGATCTGAGCGCACAGGGTAAATCTGCTGTGGGTTGAAAGGGCTCTGGAGGAGGCGGTCGGTAACTGGTGAAGTCAGGCTAGAATTGTAACAAAGCTACTTCTTACATTTTTAAGTAAAATAGAAGCTACTGCTGAGAAACAGTAGCTGTCTCTGCAGGTAAGCAGTAGAGGGCTAAAGGTAATTTAAATCTGTGCAGCAACGATTGCATTTAAAGATCAAAACCGGATTAAATCCTTGGGAGAGTACAAGTTGTTGAATTTTTTGCAATTTAGTGGAATTCCAGGACAAGTAAGTTTCTTTCATTTCTCTGCGTTTGAGGTATATCCTTAAACCCAGTGTTGTTTTTCCTTTGGAAAAAGGAATCTTTCTTTAAGGAGTATGAAATCCGAAGCAGAAGCTAATGCTGCCTGGCTAAGACCATTTCTGAATTAACTTTCATCTCCCACCTTCTGTTGCATGTTGTATAATTGTATTTCTACACAAACTCAGGCAGTGTATTAGAAAAAATTTGACCAGTTGAAGGTCTTGTCAGCAACAAAGATTTAAGAACCTTCAGCGGGTGTTTAAATGACTGGCTTTCTGTAAACATTGCAGCTATCCAGTTGTGTATGTAATGTAAAATTTGCTGGTGCTTTGTTACAAAATCCCAGACTATTTATTTCCCCCTTTTTAACAATAACAGAGTATTTTTGAGAATGACAATGTAACATCTTAATACACAAAGCTGTGAGATTTATAGTAGTTTGTGATAATCTTAAACTACCTTAGAAGTCTTGTGTAGACAACTGAAATGTAATTTTTAATAGTAGTGCTACTTATGGCATCTATTTTCAAATGATTAAATTTTTTCTTCTGATATTTTTAACCATTCTGTTTGTTGTGGAGACTTTAGAGCTATTCAGCAATATACCATTAAATTAGGAATCTCAGTGGCTTGGATATCTGGGTGAATTTTCTGATCTGGATTTTTTTTTTTTTTCCAGATAAGGGATATTACATAATCCTACCCACATGAATTTTGTGAAAGTGAAAAATAATTTTTAAAATTGTAATTCTTCAAATGCAGACAATAACAAAGCAGTGATTTTGCAAAAGAGCTGAAATGAAATTACTATTCTTGGAACAGTTTGCCATTAAATGAGCTAATAGTGCCTGCACTGCTGTCCAGAACTTTGCATTCTAACTCTTAAATAAAACCAGTAATAAAGTAGTTATATAATGGGGTGCTAGTAAAAAGGGGAAGAGGGGTATATTCAGAAAGTACTACCTTCAGGAAATGAGTGAATGAATGATTTATTAAACTATCATTTCTGAGATTTTTTTTGCAGTACCAGAAGCTTCTGCTTTGTTAGAGAACTATGATGTGCGTAATGATTTTTGTCCTTTTATACTTTTTATTCCTTTTATTCTTTTGAAATTAAGACAATGGAAGGGTGACATGCATGCTTCTCTTCATATAATCTTTTGATGTAGTAGGTACTGCTTGGTTTAGGGTTTCCTCTGAACTAAAAGAATTTTGCTCATGCAGTATGCACGTGGGAAGCACGCTGAGACAATGGAAGTGATGCTGGGTCGGCAGCCAGTGTTTTCCCAGTATTGATCCTGTGCAGCTCATCCAAGTCAACCTAGTTTCCGGCCCTGTGTGGAAACCTGGTGGAGTTTACAAGCTGAAACCAGTAAGGTTCAACTGAAATGGCATTAAATTAACTAAGGCCCAAGCAGACGTAATGTTGTAGGAATTTATTTTGTGGTGGGGTTTGTAGAGTCACTTGCTGTAAATCTTATCTGACGCAGTACGCTAGCAAGCTCTGTTTTTTGTTTTATTGTTATTTCATCAGACTTCAAGCAATGACTTTAATTTGTCACTCAGGAGTCTGCCTCAGGGGTACTGTGTGCTTGTGTGTGAAATCTTCAGTCAAAATAATGCCATTGTTTCGAAGTGTGGTACCATTTAAAAATATGTATTTGGGCCATGCTAAAACTCTGGAAGTGTTTTTTCTTAAAATCTGTAATATCTTGGGACCAGGAACTTGATAATGATCTGTGCTGTCCTTAAGAATCAAATCTGATTTGAGGCTTTGTGGAAGAAAATACTTCGAGGAGGAACAACTTTGTGATGGGTAGCTCTCTTTATTAGTTTTCTTTGTTTGTTTTAATTATCTGACTGTAAATATTTTTCTATCATATAAATGATGTTGACATTATATGGGAACAAGCAGTGTTTACAATTAGAGGAGAAAATTAAAATTACTGCATATTGTACATTTCAGGAAATAAGAAGCTGTTCATGCAAAAGGGAGAAAAGGCAAAAGGATTGGAAAAAATCACATTTGTGTCAAGTTCCACCAATGCTTGAGAATGACATACATAGTATAATTATAAACATGTGATGTTAATAGGAAAGACATAACTTAATCTTTATGATTTTTTTATGACTATTAGTAAACAAATGACTGATACATACATAGTATTTCGAGGGCTGCAAGAAGCATATTTTAAAAGTAAACTGAAATGTTGGTAGACAGTTATTTTTAAACTCAGTAAGTTCTGGTTTTCCATTGTTTAAAAATACTCAGAGGAAATGACCTTATATAATGGATTAACAGTTTATACATTTTCCCAGTCCACAGCTAAAAAAAAAAATTAATAATGTATTGGTGTGCAGAATCTGAGCACTCAGTGTGAAGTTATACATTTCACACTTTCATTTGTAGTGATTGTTATATCTTTTCCAAGTATTTCTAACCTGTTTTTTCCTTTATGGAATTGTGGACACTTTTTGCCAAAATGTATCACTTACTGGTATAAAAGAGCGAGTGGATTTATTAAGCTGACAATTTATTAAGATAAATCATTAAAATATTATAGTCAGATGCCAGATGTCAAACAGTTAAAATTGTCTTAATAATTGTTGAAGCTATGGGCTATTCCTCAGCCTGGTAACTATCATTTTTATACATTTGGTATTTTGAAACCCCCCTGCCTTTCAGCCCTATTACTTATTTTTATTATATCCCTTTCCCCCAGCCTAAAGTCTCACCAACCAAAAAACACCAGAAGAAACTCTGCGCTTTGTCTGCATTACTCTTTGCCAGGAATGCAGGGAATTAGAATACTATTTGGGTCTTTAAACAAATTCAGAAGGTTTTCCAAGATCACACTCAGAGAGAGAAGAGCTTTATTAACACTATCAGAATTCATTTGGCTTAAACAATTACTGCCTGTTCCCATTGACCTCATTAGAACGAGCCCTGGGCTGCAGGTGTGAAAAGACTGATCTTGACTCTCTTCTAGCCCATATTTTGCTTTTCACTTGGGTGCTGCAGCACTGTCTGTACGCACCAGTTCGGGAGCCAGTGCCGAGCCACAGAGGCACCCTGACTGAGTGAGCCTAGGAGTTTGTGGGAATGGATGATGCTGTAGGGTTAAGGTCATATTAAATTTATATAATGCAATAATTGTGGAGCAAATATGATTCGTTCCCTTTTCGTTCCTTGTTTTGAATGCCTCTCTTCAGAGTATTTGAGCATTTTATGGAAGACCTTTTGGTTGGCTGGAAAAGGCAGGACAACATCTCTTTCTATAAATGGAATAATAATTGCACTGTGCGCTGGCCAGCAGAGACCAACATCTGTATCCTGGTTATCGGTTATCTTTTAATCGTAAATATGTAAAATGTCCTTCTCAGCTGCTCTTTGCCAGACCCCAAGGCGTAGTCAGGAGGATAGAATTATTGGCTGTATATTCCTTGCCTGGAAAGTCAGGAAAGATACAGTGGAACAAAGAGTGATAGCAGATTAAGATGGCATTTTAACTGTGCAAATATGCTCTTAAGAAACTAAAAATTTGCCTCTGGCCTAACAGTAGCATTTTTACCCTTAAAGATTTTGGAATAAATAGAGAATTAAGGAAACCTTTGAGCAGATTTTAAATGTTAAGAAGAAACACACTTTGCGTTAGTAAAAGGTGCAGCATAGCTGGTGAAAATAAGCCAGACCCTCCTGTTAGGCACAGAGAAGGGAAAGTACAAGTTCTGCTCTGTCCCCCAGTGCTGAGGAAGGCTTTGCCTTTGTGCCACTCCAAAGTGCTGTCTCTACTGAGGTGATGAAGGGTATTGGTGAGGACTTCTGTGTCTCTTTAAAAAAGAGTATGACTGTGTCTGAAGGGTGTAGTAGTGGCTGGAGTGCAACAGATTGTTCGTACTGATTTCAGCAGAAGATGAATCTTTGTCTACAGAGTGATAAAACTAGTAGCCTAGCACTGACGCACAGAGGATTTGAAGCCTTGTAAAAATCAGTCTCTAATTAGTGTAAGAATTTTGGGTGGAATATGATCTGAATGCATTCCCATGTTGGAATTTGCAGTTCTGTATTTTGGGGCTTCCTTTCTCAGTAGCAGAGTGTTGTTGGTTTTGTTGTTTTTTTACCCTCTGTTTATCAGTGTAACTAAATAGTTTTTAGGCCATTGTTAGAAATGTACCAGCTCTTTAAAGAAGAATATGTTGGTTTAGTGCAGCCTAATTTTATGGAAAAGAATGGGATATTTTCATACAGAGTTTAGTTGCTAGCATTTTTTAAAAAATTCACTTCAAAGGCCTGCCTTTTTAAAATGTGACCTTTACTTTCCTAATCTTGAGGGAGAAAGAGGTTGGAAAAGCAGAGCTGACTTGTGCAGTTACGATAAACAGACATTTATCAAGTGCAGTCTGCCTACATGCTGGGTTGTGGAAGCCCATGGCATCACATTTCAGGTGAATAGAGCCCTTAGTTAGGGCTCTATCCCACAGAAAATATTTGAGGTTTTTCAGTCTATACAACCTTAAAAGATGCAGATTTCAGCCTTGCAGGAGGCTTACCAGTGCAAGGGGAAACTGGCCTGCTGTGGAAATGGGAAGCCAGCACTTCATGCATAGTCAGCTCATGTCTGCAGAGTGACACTCTCAAACTCATTTGGTCAGCAGATCAGCCACCAAAACACTGCCATCTCTTCCCTTTGGAACATGCTTGGATCTCCCAGGGCTCCTGTGCCAGGTTGACCAGGTAAAAAATGTGGGTATAAATGGAGAGAAGGGCTTGACAATGTGGGCAGGGACAGTGAAGAGATAACTCTGTGATCATAAAAAGGAAAGAAACCCAAAGGCAAAGTATTCTGAGAGTTGGGAAGGAACCTGTGGCAAAAAAAAATGGAAATGGGAAAGTGAAGCGGGAGAAAATGGAAACCAGAAAATGAACAGAAATAGTAAGGAAAGTGAATAGAGAGGAGGGAGAAAACTGGACTGTGTAGTACATGCAATAGACCCCACATGAAAAATAATGAACCAGGGATTTGGCAGTTGCTGAAAGAAAAAATCTGAACATTTCTGTCTTTGGTTGAGGGGAGACCTCAAGCTCTGTCTCCTTTGAATACTGCAGAGCGTGCACACTTTTTTTGAATATTTGCCATGGGTAACCTTTTTTCCTCTTTGTGGACTGGCAGCTATGGAGATTCATTTCAAAACAGATCAAAACTTTAGGAAATGTGGCTGCTTTTTTTTTTTTTTTTGAGTTCTAAATCTGCTGGTGTGGGAAAAAACGGAATAGCCTCTTCAGTGTAGAGATAAAAAGGGTTCTGTTTGAGGGATGAAAACCATTTTTTAAGCTGAAGAGATGAGTTATCTGGTGAGAAGTTTTTTCAAAAAAGTTCAAATAAATTTGCTTAGATAGTGGTGGCTAACAGGTGGGTAGATTGAGTGAATTTAGTGTGCTCATGAGTGTGTTACTAGAAATGCAGTAACATTGCAAAAATGTGATTGCTGAATGATATAATGTGAACAGAGTCTTAGAAAGAATTATAGTCATCTGATATATCATTCTTTAAGAATGTCACTAAGAATTAGAGGCCTGAGTAAAGCCTACTGTCTCCTGCTCTTTATCATGCTGATTGCTGCTAATTTATTTGCATTTCAAAAAAGCAAGTAGCCCAAGGACAGACAGTGAATAAGGACTAGTCTATGAAAGTGCTTTTTGAGGTGGTACTTCTTTTGTGCTAACAGGTATACATTTGTGTTTATGGGTGACTTGGCAAGGCTTTAATTTCCTCTTGATTTTATTTTTCCAAATTGCAATCCAGGAGTCCCTTATTTTAGTTGTTACAGAGGTAGTGCTGTTAGAGTGAGATAAAAGGTGAGTTTATGGTCAAGGAAGATTATACAGTGGTGTCTCTGGCTGAGTGATTTTACTTAACTAATGATCAGACTGTAAACTCCTCGGGCTAAAGACTCTTATGTGTTTGTACAGCATCTAGCAGAATGAGCTCCGGCATATGATTGGAGTTCTTGGGCTCTATCACAGTACAAGTAATGAATAATAAGTAAGTAAGCAGCAGTTGTATTGGTTGGCTGCCTCAGGAGATCTTAACTCTTCTTTTATGGACATACATGCTGGAATTTCTTTGGCATCAGCCTCAGAATGAAGTACTTCAGTTTGCCTGAAGGAGTTCAGCTTCAGTTCCTTACAGCATATAAGGCTGAGATCCTCCAGAGGCTATACACAAGCAAGTGTTTGCAAGAGCTGACTTTGGAAGTTAACAATGATGCAATTACCACTAAACTGATTAGAAATCTAAGCCTAGATTTATAAATTAGTGCAAAATGGTTTATGTACTTTATTGTGTTTGCTTTTGATTTTTCTCTGGCATCTTTAGGGTTGTCTACATATTATTACTTTAAATTTAATGCAATTATTAAAATACATGCCAAAATAAGACCCAAAGCTATTTGCCTTTGCTTTTTAGCATAACTCATAAGATGAAAAATAAGACTCTATTTGGTTCAGCCTTAAAAATAAAATTTAAAAAGGTTATACAGCAGGTAGGAATTTGAAATCCTGGTTCCACTGATTAAGACACAACAACATGGTTGAGCCTAACTCACCTGTAGGTCAAGTTATATCTTATTTAATAAGAATCTCTCTGACTGCTGTTTTCCCAGGGACATGTCATTAAACAAATTGAAGGAGATTTAGAAGTTTAGTGCTAATGCTACTGAAAGTGTCTTGACCTACATGGGAATGGCTGTACTGTGTCATACCTGCAGGCCGCTGCATCCATCTTCCTGTGGGCCTGGTTGTATGTGGACAGAGGAAGGGAGAGGAGCTGCTCTGTGGGCTGATGGAGGCAAACTGCTCCTTCCATTAGAGCTGTGCTGATGGTGCCAATGGTAAATAGAATATTGGAAACAAATACTGACATGAAATGATATGCAACACATTCTTGTTTAGATAATGAAAACTGTGCATTTTACTGTCTTTTTTGTTTTTTTCCCTTTTGATCTATGGTGGTACCTTCATTTAGCCTATGGTTACTTTCTAATGCATCTTTTTTTTGGGGGGGGCGGGGGGTTGGGGGTGTCTTGTCAGTTTGGAAGCCTAAACTACAGTATCCAGAGTTTGTTTGGGTTTTTTTTAATACACTAGTTTACTGACGCGGTCAAAGAACTTGAATAGAACAGGCATATGGGTCCTTTGCTGAACATGTTTTAATTTTTTATGTCATCTTCTTCCAGGCCTGATGCTATTTTGGTTTTACCATTTCAGCCTCTTTGCTGGGCAAAAAGAAAAAGTTTACCATAATTATTATACTCTAGTCCCCTGAAATTGGGGCTGTTTTTTGCTGAGAAACTTCTTATTTTTGTTGGCAGTTCTGTCATCTTTAGCAGTTTGGTCACTATATAGAATTTTTAGACATAACATATTTTTTTTGTACCCTTCCTATCACATCAGTTGCTGGGAATATTGTCTTCCCTACAAGGAAAGAGGAAGTCAGGATATATTCATTCAAAGCTCTTGTGGCAGTGAACAAAATGAAGCTTCTCTGAAATACCCCAGGTCATTAGTGGCATGGCAGAGCCTCTAGTTTCTTTCTCTGGATTTGTGTTGAAAAGAGTCTCTGCTTTTCTACCTGTACATTCATTTTGTCTTTGAAGGCTCCTTTAGCAGTTCCCCCTAAAGTATTGCTTGACCCACAGCCCATTCAGATGAATGAAACCATTCAGTCACTGGAGGAGGAATATTGTTAAGTATTGCTCCAGAGGAATTGAGGCTGGGGGTGGTTCTTAGAGCTCTGTGTTTGCCACAGAAACTATATACAAAAGTTAGATAAGTTTATTTTTCTTGAAAAGCAAAATCTACTCCCACCTTTTCGGAAATGGGATGCTGGGATAAAATACAAGAAAAATAATGGCTCAGCAATATGAGGGGAGCTTCCAGTGGGGTTTAAAGTTGGTTGTTTTTTTGTGGGTTTGTTTTGTTTTGTTTTTTTCATTAGCTACTAGTTTTATTTCAGTGTTTGGGAAAGGAAGAGAGCTGGATCATGGCCTGAAAATTAACACAGATTAAAAAATTTAAAAAAAAAAAAAGTTACAACTTTTGCTTTGATAATTTGTGAAATTCGATGTGGTTAAAGCATGATAGAAGGTACTACTTGGGAGGAGGTGCTGGTACAGAAGGCTGTGGACCAACACTTTACTGGAGGAATCCCAACAAACGTTCCTTGATAGTGAGGTGTTTCATTGTGCAACTTCACAGTACTCTCTTACGGCAGTGGTACAAGCCCTTGGTAGCGCTTAATTGTGTTGCAGCTTTTCCCTCTTTCTAAAGAAGTCCATGATTGAAGTAATGACTCCCAACGTCAGTATTGCTGCTCAGCACCACTGCGCAGGGAGCACGGTCCGACAGACACAGGTGCTCGCCCGCTGCAGAGCTGGGGCTCGGGGATCCTGCGCACCCGGGCAGCCGGGCCCATGGAGCCTCTGCCCCATGGCACTGCCCGGGTGGTTGCAGGACTGACTCTGTGTGGCAAGGAGGCGTCGGAGTTTAATGGTGCTTTGGTCTTTGATGGGAGTCTTTGGATCTGATTTCTAAGCTGCATTTCAGGATGAGGGAGGCAAAGCGTTTGCTCCACATATTTAGTAAGCCTTACACCAGTATAGAGTTCAAGAGGCATTCACGAGGCAGAAGAATTTATATATGATGACTTCATTTGTTCTGGATGTTCAGAAGAGAATCTTAAGGTCAAATCTATTTTGAGTCTGAGAAATCTCTTGTCAAGTGCCTTGTTCTGCATATGGCTGGATGCTTTCTGATTGCTGTGTAACTGCACCTCCAGCTGCTCTCAGAGAGGTGTCCAGCATCCCACTGCAGTAACTTGCTTTTCTTGTTCCTTCTGCAGCTGATAATTTTTGATTGGTTTTGTCCTGTTTGCTGTCCTTCCAGACAGTAGCACCATGGCAGCCCACTGATCAAAGCAAAAGAGAAATGGCACTTCCTGGATGTTGCTTTTCTCTTTCTACTTCACCTCTTTCCCCCCTCTTCTATTTTGGATGACCAGTTAAAATATAAAGGTGCTGTCCAGGGTTTGAATGTTTTCTGCTGCTGAGAAGGGGCAAACAGGACAAGCCTCAGACCAGCTTCCTGTGAAGATCAAGGGTAGTTGGTTTATATAAACAAGAAAGTGTCTACTTTTGTGCCTCAGGGGTTTACACTTTTTTTTTTTTTTTTCCCCCACCGTTACAAATGACAATTTCAGTGCTGTCCCAAACATTTTCACTACTCTAAGATTAAAAAAGGTTAGAGTGGAGGGAGAAGAACAAAAGAGGTGAAAATACGTATTATTAGAGAGGGTCCCCTTTCAGTTGCTGAGGTAGCTTTTGTCCCTTGAATGGCAAGGTGTAAAGGCAGGGGTGTGCTTCTGTTATACTATAAGGCTTCCAGTGATTTCTGCTATTTGCCTTATAAAACCATTCTGGTGTTTACTGAAGGGAAAAACTTATAAGAAATCTGTTTTGATCATGGGTATTGATCTAAAATATTCATAAGTAGTTTCCTTTTTTTTTTTTTTTTTTTAAAGAGTTCGCATGCAAGACTTATTTCAGCTACAGGTCACTTGCTTACCCTTGTGCACTGTGAGAGGGTTTGAGATGGTGGTAGGAGCCATACTTTTGTTTTAAGTCAGTGTTTTCAGGGCTTTTGTCTTTGTGCATGATAGATGCCCTGCTTGTCAAAAATGCATATACTGTGTGCTGACTCAGAGCCATACAAAGTAATATGTTTTATTTGGGGCCTATAGGAAAACAAAGAGCCAATAAAAATATATTCTAGCATCTTTTATCCTCCTCTTTGACAAAAGAGGCCACCCGGTCAGAGAGGTACAGTATTACTAAGTTTTCACTAGCATGACATAATAGTAAATTAGGGATCACTGATGTGCTGATGCTACTTCAGCAGTGTTGCAGAGGCTCTCAAAATAAACAGACAATAATTAAAATTTATTTTAGATACAATTGATTGGCACTCTAGCAATTATTCATAAACAGCCAATCTAAATGTCTCTGAGAGGAAAAAACTACTACTGCACAAGATTTAGTAAACTCCTATGAGTTAACGACAATCCAGAATGCTTGATCACTCACCTAAAAAGTGAGGGCTTTCAACCTAGAGAAGTTTCCTAGGGTGGCATCCTTACCCAAGGGGAGAATCCTTGACTGTAGTGTGCTGCTGCATGGGGGGACCAGCTCAAAATGGCTCCCCCAGGGGACTCCATTTATACCCCAGGCAAATCTGATCTGTGGTCACTATGAGCCCTCATTAGCTGAGGGCCTGAATTACTGTAAAACCCTGAGAACAAGGGAGCAAAAAAATAAATCAATAGCCACTATATCTCAGCAGCCAGGAAGCCCCATCTTCAGCAGGATGGGTGCATCTGCCAGAAGCAGCTCCCACCTTCATTTTAAACGTGAGCAAATTGCAGTTGGTTGGGTGCTTCCTCCCTTAGCTGAATCTGAATTGCAGAGAATCTTATATGAACAGGCCCCACAAGATGGCACAGGGATTGCAATTAAAGGAATTACTTTCTCCTGTTAGTTCTGTTTCTGGTCTGACCAAAGAAGGGAAGTAAACATCATCTTTGTGATTCTATGCCAACTGGGAACAATTTCACTTTTGCTGGTTCAAACTACTTCATGAGTTTTTGTGCTTTGAAAACCTGAAAACTTTGACATGGTGCATGATAGGAACTGATGCCAAGCTGTGACTAAACAATCTCATTAAAAACGCAAGGTAACTGAAGCAAATATTTCCTTTGAAGAAGCACTATCAGTTAAGTACTCATTTCCTCTTTTAAGTCTGACATTAAAGGGGCAAAGACAGGTGGGCTGATAAGAGCAAGATAAGGCTTGTTGAGTTAGTTTACCAGCTAATTTGGCAAAAAAAGCAGTCTTGTTTCATGCAATTTTAAGAGCTTGTATCACTTGTATTTGTTGTATAAGGGATCAACTGTCTAAATATCTACTGTAATTGTGAAATGCTTTTGTGTGCACATGTAACTTGATATATTTACATATTTTCCACAAGATGTAATATCACTAAGATAAGATCTCACCTACATAGTACCCATAATCTCTGATGCTAATTCTGAGCCTCTAAATAGACTTCTCCTTTAACCACAGCAAACCCAAACCAAATGCAATAATATTTGCCTTTGTTTTACTAGAACTGCACTGGAACCTGGTCAGTGATAGCCCAATATTCAGCTCTTCTACAGGCTGTACCAGCTGAGATTCAAAAAACACAGTTTACATGAGTCTGCCATGCATTTCCAAAACAACTAAATCCTGCATTTTTGTAAAATCAATGCACAGAATGAAGTAATACTTCTTAGTGTGAAGTTCTGGCTTGTACCCTGGTCAGTGGATTGCCCCAAGAGGAGGGCAGTCTTTCAGTACAGAAGTACAACAGCCTGTATTTTTGGGCATCTTTGCCTGTTTTCTATAAGGATCTATTTGGTCTTTGAACTGGTGTGTGATACCTGCTGCCATCCACCTCACAAGTGTGTAGGCAGGAGACACCCTCTCTGCAGGGTGATTCATAACTTGGCCCTTACATTCCAGAACAATGTAATAGCTCTAGGACACCAGTGCAACTGATGGGACAAATGAGCTGTTTTATGGTAAGGTGAGCAAAATCATTTGCCATCCAAGTACAGAATATGGTTGGCATGACCAAACTGAGTGATTAACTGAATCCTATCACCCACTGTTTCTTTATTTTTCTCTCAAATCATTTTAAGAGACAAAAAGCAATAATTTTATTTGTTTTCTTAACAAAGGCATTGAACACAACCATGTAGACGTCAGGAAAACAGACTTGGAGGAGTCCTGTAGCAGAATTATTGTAGGTATATTTTATGTATCAGAGTCCACAGTTGTTACAAGAATATAATTGGAGATAGTGATAAAAATGTGTAAAGTAGTGTAAAGGCTAATGCCTAGGCCTGGAGGGATTCCCATTGGTTTCAACGGGCTTTTGGATAAGGCCCTAAGAAAACACACAAAACACTTTACAGAACAGACTAAAATTGTGCTTAATTTTTTTTGGCACACCACTAGGCTTCCAACCTCTACCCTTTCCCTTTCCATCCCCTAAAAATGTAGAGGTATTTTGATTCCAAAATATGAAGATGCTGTGAGGGTCAGTATCCCAGTCCAGGCAGCCATACCAAGATACCAGGCGGGTTAGCCCTGTTGACACAAAATATTTTGCATCGCTTTACAAAACAGAGAAACAGCCCATTCTTGCTTTAGAAGGTTCATCAAGTGAACATATAGATTTCTTAATACTCTCAAGGGGACTTTCAGCACCCAATTGTGAATCATAACATTAAAGTCTGGAAGGAAGGAACATCTTGTAAATCGTTTCAGAATTGTCTTTTACCTCCTATTTTATCAGGCTTCCAAGCTTTTCTCTGGGTCAAGATGCATTCAACATTAGTATTTGGAAACATGAGGGATTACAAGACATCTGTGACTTTTTCCATGAGAAAATAATAATAAACTTTCAGTAATTTAAGGGTAAGTTCAAGCTTCCCTCTTGAGACTTGTATTTGCAAATGAGAGAGTTCTGATGTCTGCTAAGAAAAAAAAAAAAAAAAATCTCACAATAGGAAGGAATTCATTCTGAGGAATCTCTCCTCCAGAGCTGAGACTTCTAATCATTGTCTGCGCTAGAGAAACTTAATACAACGTTCCCAGCCTTGCAAACATCAGCTCTTCTCTGCAGAATTTATCAGTGACGGGAGCACTAAGGTGCATGCATTTCCTCTGTTTGCAGGACTGCGACCCTTCACACACCAGGCTGTAAGAGCCCAATTCTGTCCCACTAAAGCCTAATGGGAGCTTTGCCATTTTCTTCAGTAAGGTCAGGATTCCTTGTAAAGCAGTGGAGAGGAAATATCAGGAACGTAAAGCCACACACCAGATCTCATGGCTTTTAATCACAAGGGGTGTATTAGTGCCTCCCAGGGTGAATGGAAGGAGGTTGGTAAGGTGCAAGAGGAGCCTTCACTGGCTTTTTTTGGTAGTTACTTCATGTGAGAAAGTTGTTTAGATAACTGTTACCCTTCTAGCAGCACCTTTTTAAAAACGTTCCTGGACTATAAAATGCTTTAAGCTCTGCTCCCTCCCCTGCCCTCATTCTCCTCCAATTTCCTGGGCTGCAGTTGGACAGAAAGGAGTGTTGTCCTTCTGGGTGCCTCTCTGCTTCCCTGTAATGCCTGTCTGTTCTGCCTCTCACACTCCCTCGTGCACTCGCATGCTTAGCTGTGGGAAGGTGCCTCTCCTGCAAAGAGTCTTTCCAGGTAGCAGTGGGACCATAGTGAGGACGGTTCTGGCAGCCTGCACAAGTGCCCACTAAAGACTGACAACACTTGGCCCTCTGCACACTCAGCTCAGAGCAGCAGAGGTAGTGAGGCTTCTTGTTCACAGGCTTAGAAACCAGCACTGCATCTGGTTACCATTTGTGACTGAGGATTGTGCTGGCTGTACAATCCAGGAGATAGTCTGGATCTGAGAGAGACCGAAATACTTCAATTTGTGCAAAAGGTGACAGCGCTTCCCAGGAAAGCTCTGTCCTGTCCCTGGTGGACAAACAAGGGAGTATTTAAGGCCCTGACATTAAGTTATCCCCTTTATTTTTTTTCCCATCACTTTCTGAATGTTCTTTCTGGGCATATGTGGCCCATTAATGGAATTGTTTTTTCCTGTATCTCATCACGAGAGCTGCACATTTATCCTTGTGTTTGGAAAAATTTCTAAATATTCACATAAGCTTTGGCATAATTTATTTTCTTTTGTAGCTTAATAACATCTTGGGTTTCATTCCATCTAGCTATCTTTGGGGATTTACAGAAGGCCAGTGGGGCTGAAATACAGGACTGAACTAACAGACAAAGGAAAACAAACAATTGTATGAATACCTAGAATTTGCTTGGAATGCAATGATGCAGCTCCAGTGCTGCTTTTTAAAAAAGAGAGTAAATTATTAATACTTCTAGGAGGAAATTAATACGGTTATGATTCTGCAATGTCTGACGTGCTCTGAAATGTAATGTATTTATGCAGGCTTCTTCCCTAGTCCTGTTGAGCCACAGTTGTCGTACCAGATCTTTGCTCCTGAGTTACCTGTCCCTCCCCAGAACTCACCAGCCTACTGGCACATGAGTTGGCAATTTCCTTGTTTTGCTGGAATGTAACTGGTGTGGGAGACTGATGTTGCAGGAGGAAAAATTTTGTAGGCAACCATCCTTCCTTGCCAGTGCAGGGTCTGTTATCTCATACAGCAGAATCTCTTATCTGGTGAAGACTTGCCACAAAACAAATGCGTTTGCTCCTGTCCCAGCCTGGATATTGCTAAGCATGGCTGGAGTGTGCAGTCTGTGGCACTGAGGCCTCAAAACATTCTGATTTCACACAGGCTGTGACAGGCTTCGGGCTGGTAGAGAAGCTGCCTCTTTTCTTTGAGATCATCAGCTCCCCTTCATGTGGAGCGTAGATGTTTACTTGGTGTAGTGAAAAAATGATGCATAAGTAAGGGTTTCTTAACAGTTACTGTCATGCTACCGTATTTTGCCTCCCATATCTCATGCCAAAAAAGAGCTTAACACTTTAGGTTGATTTTCAACATTTACAGGAATAACAGATGTCTAAAAATATTCTAGAGAGGTGTTTTTCCATGTCAGTAGCCTCATAGAATTCACAGTTCCATAGAAGTATGATGGCAGTGATGATGTCAGACTACCACTGTTTTGTTTTTTATTTTTTCAAATGCATGATGGTTGTGTCTTTATCACAAATTCTGTAATTCTTTGGAAAGGTAATTTTCAGAATAAGGTAGGAAAAGTGAATTTTCTATTTTGCTGCTTCTGGCCTGAGTGAATGATGATGAAATGAAAATTGACAAATATAAATTCCTTAAGATTTCTGAAGAATCAAATATATTTTCTAACCAATGAGACTGAATTGCAAAGCACTATAGTAAGAGGGGAGATATTTGACCTTTTAAAGGCTCTCTTGGTTGTAAAAAGTGAGGTACCATGACTAGAAATATTCTAATATTCTCTCCACAGGTATCTTGGTATAGTTTTACACTGGAAACTTTGTTACTAAATCAGATATTCTGCTAAATGCAAACTAAACATTAGTAAGAGGTTGTGTGCTGTGGAACGTTTGCTACTTACGTAAATCCATGCCATGTGGTACAAGTTGCATGAGCACACGGGGGTTGTGTTTGTGTACACCCCACTTTCTTTGTGCTACAGGAGATTTTCCACTTCATTAGCCCTTAGAATTACTTCAGGTACTTGGAACAAATGTATTTTGTTTAAAATATATTTTATCAGGTGAAGATGATCAAATCCAAGTTTATTTAGTTTTAGAAATTATCAATC